AAGATGATTTCAGTGCGTTGGTTGCTGCAAAACCAGGAGATATTCCAAAGTTTTTGAGTAGTTCATTATTGCTCTTCTTGACGTCAATCCCTGCATTCCACTACATTCCCCTCTGTTTAGACGCACTTGAGACTGCAAGGTTTGCTGGCTGCCAGCTCTGTTCCAGTCCAAGCAGCCCACAGCTTGCTCCAGTCATTGGAAAATATTACACAAAGCGGTAAATCTATCCCAAAAGCAAAGGCTAGGAAGGGGAAAATGGTTTAGAAAAGCTATAAAATTTTAATTTCTGAAACACACTTCCTTTTAATGCCCACTCTAACACTTCCTCAAGCTGTCTATATAAAGTAATACTTCCTACACAGGAGCATGTTTTGTTTACAGGACTGGGCAAAACTTCATGCAAAATAACTCAGCGGCAGAGCATGCAATGTGTTATTACTTGTTATCAAATAAAGGGAGTGCGTTTCCTCCACACGGCGACCGGAGCGCAGAAAAAGCGCACCTCTCAGATACATGGCACATGCTGTTTTCTGCTGGGCCTGATCCCAAATGATCTCACACACCGAGCCCCGTGTTTTCCTGACTTCCCACTCCGGTGTCTGCACCTCTGCTCCGTATCCAAAGTCAATGGGGAGGTTTCTGCGCGTTTGGAAAAGAAAAAAAAACGCGCAAAATTGTATTTTATTGCAAATAAGAATCACTGTGGGTGACTCCTGCTTAAGAATATCCACTGAACACCTTTACTGCTTTGGCATAATCCCAACACATGTCAACAGTCCACAATTCAATCTTCTAATAAACTCCAATTATCCGGGAGTCCACAAGGCAGCTGCGAGGGGGAAAGAAACTGTAGCCTTGAGCGCAGTGCAAGACTATTTCCTTTTGTGTGAAGTTTGCCTGTAAAGGCTGGGTCACGCTTCCAAAAGCCCGCAGAGACCCGAGTAGGTTAATTAAAAAGGTCCCCACAGGTTAAAAAGCAGAGCCGCGCCTCGATCCGACCACTTTAATTGGATCAGACAGGAGATGGTGTGTCAATACAGCTTAAATGATTCCACTTTAACCCCAAAACTATGATGATATCAGGACCTCCTCTTGAATTTCTCGGTAGAGTCCACATTGCGACGGGAATATCTTCACTATCTGCTCATGTTTGACACGGTGGAGCAGCTGCGCGCTGCGCAAATCACAGAGGCAGCAGCAGCCGCCACCATCTTCAGCGCGCTGACAGCCGCGGAGCAACGGAGTGAGCAGGGAGGGGAATTTACCTGCAGATTAAACTAAAAACACTTCCGCTTTTTATTGCAACAATAAAAGTGCAACACATGCAGGCCATTGCACACTTTTTACTGTTTGGATGATTTCATTTCACAAAGGATTAGGCTTATAAGCAACACTTTTTCAGCCTTTAGACTATTAAATCTGCTGTATATTTTCACCATTTGGTGCAGTTATGTATTTGGTGTGTTTTCTCAATATGATGAGCTGATTTCCCTTTTTTTTTTTTTTTTTTTTTTTTTTTTTTTTTTTTTTTTACAAAATTGCAGAAAAACTATCCAGATTTCACTAAACAAACGAATATATAATTGCTTATTGTCATTGCTTTATGAGGTTTGTTCATAAAGACTGTAAAAAACTAAAAGTGGATTTATATTTGAGATGAATATAACTCATAAGTTTAGGCTGTTTGAATTGGTTTCATTTGGAGGAATCAGAGAACAGTGGAGTGAACCTAAATGTAAGTTATATTATTTTAATGCTCTGTGACTGGTCAAAGGCTGCTTCACTTCCTAGTTGTTTAGCATTGCTGTTGTTGTTGTTTGGATTGACACAGCTGCTGATTTAAGTAACAACTTGTGGGATGAGGTTGACCTGGCTTCTGTAAGTTAAAACTGAGAGCAGCACTATTTTCAAACTACCTCCTTCTATGTCCATAACGTGTATTTTTAGCTCTGCAAAACGAGTTGAGTCATTCTTTTCAACCAAAAAAGACTGTCCTTCTATTGTATTTGTTATTAAAATTTTTATTTCTTTATTATTATTATTATTATTATTATTTACCTTTATTTTTATTCTGTTTCAAACAATTTGTCAAGTGGTGAAAATAATTTAGAGGTGTTCTTGCTGTGACTTTATAAGCCACGGTTCCCTATCTAAAGCTAAACAAACAAAGAAAGTGATTTAATAACTCTGCAAAGCCTCCATGATGCAAACTTTACAAGTTTATTGTGAAAAAAGGTCTGACTTCCGGTCTGGCTGATCATCAGAAGCTTGATGGTCCTGCTTGTCTGATAGAAAAGAGGGGACCTGAGTGTTGAGAGGGAGGGTAGAAATGGATGTACCTGAGGGAAAACAAGCATCTTGATGATTGCAATGACAAAGAACCCCCCCCCCCCACACACACACACACACACACACACCCCAACACCCCCCTTCCCCCTAATAAAGATGGAGGCACCTGCAGATTCATGTTGGCAAAGGAAAATTTGTTTAATTTGATAGAGAACACAAAGAAAACTAATTTTATGCATTCAAATTCTACTTTATTGACTAGGATTGCAGGCACTGATTTAGTTTAAAATGAACAGAAATGTGTCCCTTATGAGAAAAATAAGTGTTGCACGCTTCGGTCTGAGTGTTAATACCAGCACTGTGATTTGGGCAAAGATATAGCTGTGAAAGAGCTTTCTATTGTTAGAACGCACAACAAATGTTCACTAGATTTAAACTAAACCAAAAGGGAAAAAGTCCAAAAAATGAAGGATAAAAAGGATAAATTTGGAGTTTCTCCTTTGATGTATTCTGACACAATGCTTCCTTATACCCCTGTAACAGCAGTTTCTGTGTTTTTGTGCTCCTCAAATGTAATCAAGCTCTATTACACTTAGATTATCGTTCCTCTCCTCTTGCTTTGAAGTGGTGTTCCCTGGATCTTAGTTCATCGATCATCTTCAGTGTATGTCTCTTTACACTCTGCTTTGCAGCATTTTGCTGAATCCTAGTGTATATTTACACCTCAGAGAATTTACCCAAAGCAAGTTTTCTTCATCAGCGATAAACTCAATCGATCGCAGTGCTTTTCTGAACCTCTTTATACTTCAGCAAGGTGCCATATAGGCAACTTAAACTCTTGTCTATTTCTTCTTTATGGTTTGAATGTTTTTCTATATAAGTAACACAATTCCCATGCTAAAATCATAAATCTTATTGAGACATTCTTGAACAAAAAGGGCTGCAGATCTATCCATGCATCTATCCATCTGCAGTGGATCTGCAAAAGTCTTTTACTATAGATGATCAGGGGTGTCTAAAATGTTCTTTAAACAAAACCAGTTTTTTTTATTTTGTTTAAATTGTTTGCCCTGATATTGTTACAGGCTTCTTGTCTATGACAGGACTCTGTCTGTTGTAAATAATTGTAAATGTTTTATTGTCCCACAATGGAGAAATTCACTTTCTGCATTTAACCCACCCCTTGAGTAGCAGGGGGGGGGTTAAGGGTCTTGCTCAGGGACTCCGAGTGCAGTCCGTGGGAGTGTGTAGGTCTTAAACTCAGAACCCCTGAGACCCAAGAGCAATGCTCTACCCACCACTCCCCTGGTATTGGAAGTCAGTGGTGTACAGAGGGAAAAGGAATAGTGAGAGTACAGTTCCCTGTGGTGCACCTATGTTAACACTTGATTAGGCAGCTGACCCTTCAGTCTAACAAACTGTGGTCTGGTTTTTAGGTAGCCCCTAATCCAGGTGAATGTTGATGTCGCCATCTGAGTCTTCCACAATTTCTTTCAAAGTAAGTCATTGAACCTTGTTAAATGCACTAGATAAATAAAAAACATTGCAAATAAAAAAAAAACCCTCACTGCTGTCATTCTGTCCTAAATGACAGTTAAGGCAGGTGTTCAATGGTATCTTCAACTCCAGCTCCATTGCGATGAGCAAACTGCAGGAGGAGGTCCTGCTAGTTTGAGTATTTGCTGAGGTGAACCATCAGAAGTCTCTTTAGGACCTTGATGATGTGAAATGTAAGGGCAGCAGGTCTCTAGTCACTGATGACTCCTTACTAAGTTTTATTTTGTTACTGAAATAAGGCAAGAAGTCTTCCACATCACTGTAACCGTCTCCTGGAACAGGCTACGGTTGAAGAGGTGTTGTAAAATCCCATAGAGTTACAGGCCTTCAGGACTCTGACACCATCAGGACCCGGCGACATGACAGAAATGGAAGATGAAACATTTGAGGTGTGAAAGGGAAGCTTTTGGTTCAGACCTGCATCTGTCTGATTTATGCTTGAAGCCTGTGATCTTTATCCCTGGTCCCACATTTTATGCAAAGTTTAGAGTTCTTCCTGAAATTATTTGTTATTTGTTTTGAAATTAAGTCCAAGATACAAGGTCTCATAAACTATTGCACTGAAGTGCTTAGGTGCATATTCTCTTCAAGTCTCCTCAATCAAATAAGAGACTCTGTAAGACTTGGTTCCATGTGGTGATTCAGCCATATTTGATTCTGCTGTATTTGTATGTAAGACTTGTTGAAGTCAAACACTTTAAATCAATATTTTTTTGTAAAGCAGCACAGTGTCTGCCTTTGTGGTCTCAAAACTAATTTGGCTCTCAAATGAGTCACAATAGATTCATTTTCATAAAAGAAAGAAGTAAAATGTACTTTACCTCCTATTCTAAAGCAAGCTTTTCTTTGATAGAGGATAATCCAATATGAGAAGACGCAGAGCTTTTCATGTTCCTTTGCAGCGTTTTTTGTAGAATTTTTGCAGAATTTGACTATTTTTTTTGTATCACAAAGTAAAATTGCAGTTAGACTTGAATTTTTTATTTATTTATTTTTTAGTTATAAGTTGATTGCAATTTATTGCTATCGTTGAAAAGACTTTTACCCTAAAAACTGATCAGTAAAGAGTTAGAATGTAACACGGGCAGATATTTAGACTGAACAAAGAACCAAAAAGTTATTAAAAACCTCCTTAAAGCAGAATAACCACAAGGTTTCTCTGAACCAGTCAATCAGAAATCTTTATTCTTTTCTGTCAAGCATCCACAACTTGGGCCAGTGGTAATGTCAGTGTCACACCTTAAGGTGATTAAGGGACTAGTTGGACAGAACACATCCATTCATCATCTAGAAGGTGAGTAAAACTGACAATGAAATATATCAGAAGCACAACCAGTTTATGTCATAAACCACGCGCATCTGACAACATAGTTTCTCTTTTGAACAGCCCCCTCTAGTGGCCATATTCCAAAACCGCAGTGGAGCGCTCACCAGTTGAATCGTTGCACTTCTCCTCATCATGTCTCAAAGAATGTCTGAACTTTATAAGGGTGTTGGATTTTTTTCTCATGCTGAGAAAAAACAAATTTCAATAACCTACTATCCAGCTGTGTTGTGAATATGAAGCAGCAGGCCTGTTTTTGCATAGCTTTGCATAAATGCTAGGGTGGATCTGAAGCTGGAAGTGAAACTATTCCTAATATTATATGTAATATAAAAAAGTGGAAGATGCTTGAGTCCAGCTGGTTGCTGTTATGCACCTTTATACAATATTTTACTCCACTCTTGTGATAACTGTTTAATGTTGACAGTTTTTAGCTTTGTGTCTATTTCCTTCTTCTCACTCTGGGAAAAGAATTTACCTTGTTTCCATGAAGGTCAGGGATCAACTCATGAGTCCTCAGTTTTACATTTGCATGCTTGGGACATGTAATCCTATCAGCCATTGCAGAGATCTGTCATCAAAACATACAATATTGCTTCAAATTGTATTTTTTTAGGTCGACTTACAAATGGAGCAATTTCCAGAGTATAACAGAAAACCGTGCAGCAATGGAACGGATCTCGCTGCTGAAGGAGTTATGGTAGCTTAGATGTCCAGTCTGTGTGTCATGTTGAGTCTGAAGCAGGTTTATGATTGTATGCATTAATTTTGTTAGGGATGTTTTAAGGGCTGTTTTTCCTTCCAAGTGCATGTTAATAATCACCAAGGCTGCCAATTTTAAACTATTCTATTTGTTGACAGTAGACTGTCGACATCTTTAGAATAAATTAGCAAAGTAAGGAGAAAAGAGTAAAACAGTGAAGATCAGAGTCGCAAACTCTAAGTAAACAGGAAAAAGGTTTAATTCTCCCTTTGGTGTTCCAATGCAGTAAGACATGGGTAGACTTACATGAGCTTTGTCTCCAGTAATGTGTTTGCTATTCTAGTCAATTGTAGGGAAGAAATCACTCTGACAAGAAGCTTTGTATTACCACCTGCTATCCCTCTACCTTTGGTCATGAGATAATGATGAATCAACCATCTGTTTGAGAATATCCCACTGGGAGGAGACCCTGGGGACAATAGTACTCGATGGAAGGACTATACATCCTTACTGGATTGAGATCACCTTGGATCCCCCAGAATTTGTTGGAAAATATGGGTATAAGTAATTTAACCTGTAACCCACATTTACCGATCTGAGAAAGGCAGATGCCAACCGATGGGCAGATGTACAAAAAACATTCAACATATCTCAAAAGCAGGCAGAGAAACGGCAGAGTAAATGTCAAAAAAATAAATAAAAATAACTTCTTGCTTTCTGCCAAACCCTGGTAGTTTATAGACTCAAAAAATAGACATTACAACAGTTAAGATGTGTAGCAGAATAAACGTACCACCTGCGCTCCAAAGACTCATGAACCCTGACCTTTGTTTACTTCATTGTCAAAAAACCAGAAGCGATGAGTGTCCAAAGCTAAGAGATGAAATCCCTTGTTTGATGCCGGTTAGATTTGGTACTGGTCTCAAAATTGCTGCATGAGGGTTTTTTTTTTCTTTATGGCAGAAGAAAAACATGCATTTGTAGATAAACATTGAAATCCTAACATGCAAAGATAATTAACATCTATAGCAAAGGTCTGCATGTTTAGACAGACACCAATGCTTTTGTATAGCACCAACAAAAAGGCTACTTCGAATTCAACTGATGTGTTTGAAATGTACCTGGGATAATATAATCCTTTTAATATTAGTATACAAACATCTGTTTTCAACATCTGTTTTAAGTGGGTCTGGTATTTGCCTATTTTCAGCATCTGTAATTTCTCTGACAATTCCTTGTGAGGCAGTCCAGGGTGACAGTGCCATAAGAAAGAGAAAGGTGTATGTTTTATGAACTTTGAAATGAGTGGCGGGTTCTCGTTCCTCTATTATTTATGTCCTTAAGCTGCCTTATCCAACGATGGCTTCCCTCTTCTTCTCTCACTATCACATTTGCTTATTCTCCTGAGGACAAAAAACCCCAAACATTAATCTTCCCTATGTCACCTTAACAATGCAAATGTCCTGTTAAAAGCAGGGCTCTGGCTCCCACCAGGACCCCTCTTTCTCTTCACCTCCTATGTCTCCTTTCTTCCCCCTGACAAGTTATTTTATGTTCCTCAGTTCTTTCGGTAGCGGTTTTTTGGCTTCTCGCCACAGCCAGTGATCTCACAAGATGAGAGGCCAGGCTGCTTGCCAGAGTTAATGCTGCTTAGGAGACCAGGCAGCTCGTTGGTGATTGCCTTCTCGATCTTTTCCAACAGGCAGCCTCCGATGTAGGAACACTGAGATGCCAGAGGCTTAAAGCTTGCGATTGGGTTGATGCCAAAGAAGTCACGATAAGCGTCTCGGTTGGGTAGGTCAAACTTGCTGACGTTGGTCTTGGCTAGAATGGATTTGAAGATGTAAAACTTGTCAGGGTCGTCCACAATCTCCTGGAAGACCAGTTCGGGATCACTGAAGAAGCTCATCTTCTCTTTGAAGGTCTGAACGTAACGGTCCACTAGCAGGGCGTGGATGCGAACGCGGATGGCGTGTTGGCGGATGAAGGCTATCTTGTTCTCCATACGGTTCTCAATCACCTGGTTGAGATCTTCTAGGAGGGAGATTTCTTCTCTCTTGAAGAGCTCCCGGCTAGTGTCTGGGGCGTAATCATATGGCCAGAAGGAGCTGACATAGACACGAGGCGGTTCAGTCACGTTAATGAGGGGAGCCAAACTCCAAAAGAGTGCTCCATAGACTCTCATTAAGTCCTGCGTGGCCAGGTTGTCTGCCTTGTTTAGGATTATGCGGATCTGGGACTCTCTGCCTTTCAACTGTCGAAACAACATCTCCAGCTCAAGACCAACATCCAGCTTGGTTGGATCAAACACAACAAAGATGAGATCAGCACGGTCAATGAACCACTGGCAAACATCATTGAAAGGATAACCTAGGAAGAAAAAAAAAAGGTGTTACAAAAACTCTTTAAACCTAAACCAATGTTTACCATTGTTCAAACTTTAAAACTATTTATTCCAGCATTTTTCTATCTTTAGCTCTTTAACTTAACTCCAACTAATGTTTCTCTGATGACAAGAAAATCCCCACCAAATGATGCCATGTTTCTTGATCAGTGCTGTGTTGATACGTAGTGTTAGAATGCCACAGGTTCTCAATTAGATTTTGCTCTGAACTTTGACTGGGCCATTTTAAAAACAATGAAAAATGCTTGAATTATCATAATCTCAGCCCCGGTAGTTTCTCTGATTACCCACTTCATTCACCTGCTGTCTTTCCTCGTCGTTCCCTGGCTCCTAGTGCATGTCTTCCCTAATGACTCCATGGTTCTGTTTTTTTTTTTTTTGCATTTTCAAGTTGGATTTTTGGATTCCTGCCTACCTGTGATCACTCCATTAAAACTCCAAAAACTCACCTCTGCTTCCTTGCCTATACATTTAGGTCTTCAAAACCTCAACCAAACCCTGACAGTGGCTGGTTCCTACTAAAAATCCAACTTAAAAATGCAAGACAAACCAGAACCATGGAGACATCAGGGAAGACATGTAATAGCCAGGGAAAGACAGCAGGTGAATGAAGTGAGTAATCTGTGAGTAAGAGAAGCTACCGGGGCTGAGATCATGACATTAATGCCTTAATGCTTTAATTTTACCCTAGGTTCCTATCAACTTTGACTCTGCCGACGGAAACATCCCCTCAGCATGATGTTGCCACTCACATGTTTCCATATAGGGTCGATCTGTTCAGGGTGATATGTCGTATGAAGGTGTGTAGATAACCTGTAAGAACAGAGCTGCAGGAATGAAATTCCCCCATTCTGTTCCTGCAGCAGGGGCTTAGGATTCTCTTGCTTCTAGCACATATTCTGGTCAGAGCGGTTCCTTGCATGCCATCAAAAAATATATAAAATGTGTGTCTCAGTGTAGAAGAAGCCTATTATTAGCCCCTGGACTACACTGTACTGTAGTTCTTAAAGTTAAATATAATCTGTTCCTGTAGGTTTTTGTAAAAGATCAAATGTTTCAGTTTATTTAGTTTTTTTGCAGACATTGTACTGTACCTGGGGATTTCTGCAGCTTTAAAGTGTACATGCCCGTTTTAGCTGCTTCTCCACATAATACTCTCCTTTCCTGCGGTTTTAAGGTAAACAGCCACATGTTGCACAGTTATTCTATGCTATTTCATTGCCAAGATGATGGATTAAACATGGCTCTATGAAATGTTCAGTTTGGAATAAAGTTTTATAAACTAAGACTTCTTTAAACTTCAGCACAACCCTGCAGTTAAATAAAATGCAAGCTACTGTGCATTTTTTTATTTTTTATTTATTAAATACCTTTTTAAATGTATATCAAATTTCAAAAAGATATTCCTACTCTCTCTTCACAGTTTTACACAATTTTGTGTCACTCCTAGAATCCCAATAAAGTACAATGAAATGTGTTTTATATTGGGGCAAAATGTTGAAAAGATAAAAAGGTAGCCATGGTATTATCTTAAAAGGCACAGTCTGTATTGGTTTTATGCACAGAAAAAGTCTGCTCATTTACCTCGTTCCTGCTGCTTTCGGTTCTCAATGATTCCAGGCGTGTCCACAAAAGTCACACGTTCCAGCAGCTTGTGAGGCATCTCGATACCTATTAACTTTTCCAGGAAGTTTTGGCCAAACTTTTCAAGGGGAGAGAAGGAGCGAGAGCTGTCTGCTGCCATGACGATACCCTCTACAGAGCGTATTTTCTCGCCGTGCATGATAACAGTAAACTCAGAGGTAGTGGGCTCAGCTCCTGAAGAGCAAAATTATGAATAAACAGAAGAAATTAGCAGACATGGAGCAGAAACTGCAAAAAATACCAATGAAAACACATAAATAGGTAAAGAAAATGACAAATTTATGTACCAAAGGCATTAAGCATTTAATTAAACATTAAATTGTAAGAGAAAAAATATGATATTTCTAATGCTCCTGCAGATTTAAGATGTTTATAATTGTTTTCCCTCCTATATTGACTCATTAAGTTTTTGTATTCTTAATTCATACCTGTGTAGAGCTGATACGGGCTGTCTTGCAAGCCCAGGAGGTAATTGATCATGGAGGACTTCCCTACACTCCAAGGTCCAAGGAACAGCACCATGGGCTTGGAGGTAATCTCTCCATCTATTCGGTAAGAAATACAAATTTATGGGAGGTTGCTTAAACAGTGAGGCAGAAACTTCTGTTTATTTTACATGTCAGCTATTTCCAATCTACAACAAGAGCCCCCATGCTTAATAATGAATCAGCCAAAAAACTCACTAGAGATGTTTTCCAAATGAAAAATGTAATGTACATAAAAGTCTAAAAAGGTGTGATGCTGTGTAAAAAAGATTTTCGAAAGCAGAATCTAATGATTTTGTAATATAGAACAAAAGATTAAACAATTAATGGTTTGATATTTTGGTAGCAGACAAAACAACAAACCATTTCTCAAAATCAAACAAAACTGGTCAGATTGAACAAATATAATGTAATTGTATAAATTGAGATAAAAACATCTCAAGATCCTGAAGTTTAATTTAGTGGGATTTCATTTTGAACTGGCAGCAATGAATATTTCCCCCTATTTTATTTCTACACAGCATCAGTTGGTTTTTACAGCATCTACAAATTAGAACTACAATTCACAGTGCCTTGCAAAAGTATTCGAAGCGTTTAAACACGTCTGAAGTTCAGCTCCCCACAATCACAACTATAATCACAATCACAGTATATGCTGTTGGGATTTTTTGTAGATCAGCACAAAATAGTTAATAATTGTGATGTGGAAGGGATGTCATGCGCTGTTTTGGGGTTTTACTTTTTGCAGGAGCGTCATTTGATCCATTTACGACTTTCAGTCTTTTTTAGATGCGCTTACAAATCCTTTTACAAAAAGCATAAGTATTTAGTCTAGGCTAATCCCACACATGAGCATGCTTGATTTGAGCCGTTCCATTGAACATCTGGATATAAATGTAGAGTCATTGTCCAGCTGGAACATAAACCTTAATCTTAGTCTTCAGTTTTCTTCCAGTTTCCTCATTAATTATTTTAATAAATCAACACTGGCAAGCTTATTTGTTTCTGTTAAAGACACTCATTCTCCACAGCATGTGGTTGCCAATAAACCCTACTACAGTTTCCAGTGTGCTGTGTATTGTGAGTTTTAGAAAATAATATATGACAAGTTGATCCAAATTTTAAATATTGCCACATCTGACAAGAGCAAATTCTTGTTTATGTCCTTAATCTGTAACTTATAAAGACAACTGCTCACACTGGTTTGTATTTAGGGTTATCAAAGTAAATGCAGCTAAATATAAAGACAGGTTACACTTTTAATTTTCATCATCTTTCTTCCACTTCACAAGTATGTACTCCTTTGTGTTGGTCTTTTACAAAATAAATAAATAAATTAATAACTGAAGTTACCAGATGTAACATTAAAAATCTGCAGAAGCTAAAGGCATATAAGTGCTTTGCAAGGCATTGTGGGATGCATTACATTTCCTTATTCCTTATTTTGAAGTTCCACACTGCATGCAAATTTTTAAAGATATTTTTTCAATATTATTGCAAAAACACTGAAGAGTTACTAATGGACGTATAGGCTGCATTTTAAGGTTCAGACAAGGACAGAAAAAGGTCAAAAAGCCATTTGTTAGTAGAAAGAGATGTCAGCCATATTTCACACAGAGATACAAACAGACTGCAAGCTGTCATGTGTGGAGTGGAAATCATGTATGGGAGGTGAGGTAACATGGCCTGTGATCAGGATGAATAATTTTAACTTTCTATTAAAAGATCTAAATAAAAGCATTTTAACAGAGTAATGGAGGGATTTTATTTTCACAAGCTAAATTTGGAGAAAATTATACCAATGCTTTCTAAACATTGACCACCCCAGCTAAAGCCAGAAATGTACATGCAAAGCCTGTGTGATTTTCACACAATCCCAAAATATGTGATTAATATTTATAATATCCTAAGGGTCACCCCTATCTTGATTTGCATGATATTTTTAAAACTGCATCCTTCCGAAGCTTTCCAGTGATGGCGCACTTTAATGATAACCCACTGCAGTAGATATTGATGGAGTTTCATACAAAGCTGAGGATAAAGAAATATTTACAGTGCCATGAAAAAGTATTGTCCCTGGCTTTCTTGTCAAACTGAAATGTTTCAGATCATTGAGATATATGTTAGTATCAGGGAAAGATATCCTGAAGAAACAGTTTTATTATGATGACACTGTGTCAAAAAGCAATTCCCTCTAGTCAAAAATGGTTTGTTCCTCCATTGGTAGGAACATCTCCTATTTAACTTTTGAAATAATGAGTATTTCTGGCCTTACAGTCTTAAATTCAGCCACACTGTAGGTTTCTTTTACTATGTATTGTCTCTTTAAAGTCATGCTGTCATGATCTTGACGCTGATGGCTGGCTTGGTTTTTCATTCGTTCACCTGTCTGATCCACCTGCTCCTGCCTCTGTTTGGGGTGCTTGCATCCGGTTATCGGAGCCAGATTGTTATGTTCCCTCTAGCCAGTGGTGAAAGTGTTTTTAGAGTTCCTTGGTGTTTCTGATCCTGACATGTTCTGCCTCCCAACCATTGAGCCTGCCTGTTCCCATCTGATCTCAGTGGTGAGAGGGTTTTAGCATCACCTTAGTGTTTCTGATTACCTGATCCTGTTCTGCTTCTCAACCTCTGAGCCTCCCTGTTCTTGTTCTGATCTGTTTGCCTGACCTGGCTTCGAACTCCTGCTGGTTCTCCACTCTCCGGGGTTGCTTTACACGGTCACTAACCTGTGTTTCCTTTTACAGAGTTTCTTGTGATAGACTCCCTAGCCGCTGCTATTCAGATCATCAGTCGTTTCAAGAAACGCTTTTTGAATTATCCCACTGTCTGCCTTGGCTCGAATACTGGCTCCTCTCTTCTGAGTCATGATACATGCAACCTCACTTCAAATAGTTTTGAACGCATGCTTTTATGGATCCACACCAAATCCTTTATTTTGGTGCTTTTGAAACTCATATATAGGTGTGAACTTGTTGGTGTGCTTTGTATGATTGTCTGGCTTAATAAACTAAAAGTGTTCAAACATTGTCCTTTAAGACGTTTTACTAGAGAGCAGAATTAATGCCCCATTGGTTGGAAAAAAGTTCTCCATGTCTTTTAGATGCAAAGTAAACCCAAACCATAAGAAATCTAAGTATCAGTTTGATGTGTTTCCTTTAGACAGCAGTGTTTTTCAAATTGAACCTTCTCTATAGATGGTATTTTCTAACTGTTTTATATTTTTAGGCGAATCGCAAACACTGACCTTAAATAAAGGAAATGAGGCTTGTAGATTCTTCAGATGTTGTTTTGGCTATTAACAGTTAATTTGTGATTTAATGAGATCGCAAATTATAATTTCCACATCAAGCTAACTCACAGGGATTTATTTAATTTGTCAATGACATCAACATTGCATAACACTGTATTTATTTAGTTATATTTGTCTAATATATATATCTGATCTGTAACATTTAAGTTTAAATTTTACTCTTTAAGATTGTTAGGGCCAAATACTTTTTAAGAATGCCGTAGATCAACAGAGAACAAATTTGCGAAGGGTGAGAGGAAGGGGCTTAGCTCTTGAGGCAGTGCCATGCACAGGTAAGCCCTGCCCACACCCACCTGTGGCCGAGTCACCCAGGGTTCGTCCAGGGTATGCTGTTAGATGAGGGGAGATGGGGGTGAGGGGAGGACAGAGAAGTGAAGGTAAGAGGAGGTGAAGGCGAGCTCAATGAGGGAGTAATGTTTCTACAAGCACTGGGGAAGGGTGGAGTGTCGATGTACATGAATGAGTCTGAGATCATGGCTGGAATTTACAGTAGCATATTTGACCTACAAGTCGTCAAACATGTCTGTCAACAAATGCATAATGTGCTCATGTGGTCAGGCAATGATGAGAGTTTACAGTGTCTCACGAAAAGTACATTATTAGTTAGAGACGTAGATAGAAACTAAATGTCTGCATGCAAACAGAGCCTTTTTAATCCACAAGAGGAAGAAATTTATTTCATTCTAAAACTTTTTTTTTTAAGCAGTCTCAGACCAACTCAAAGAAGGGCAAAAATATTTCCTCGAAGTAAACGGTCTTTTTTTCTTTAAAAACAAAATCAATAAAAGAGTGGTTTGCATTTCTATTCCCTTTTCAATACTTTTTGGGCTGTTTTCTTTTGCCCTCTTTGTCTGCGTGGATGTGCCTGGTAAAGTCTAAGTCTGGTGCAGGATTTGCATTGCATTGTGGGGGGCAGCCAAGAAAACAAACTTATAATCAAAGAAATGTGCTCATCTTTTATGTAAAGCATTAAGTCATATTCAAGTTTCAGTACATCCTTTAAAAATCACATAGATTACTTATGATTTTGGTTGAATACTACCCAGAAACACTATAATGATATCATTCATATTTAGCATTCTCTACAAACTTCCTGTATTTATGTTTGGTACTCGAGACACATCTGACCAATAAACGGACTGATTGCTCCAGGTTGATTCATGGAGACCGGTTTCTGTGTAAAAAGAAACTGAACCACAGGAAAAAGTTGCAATTTAACAAACTCATCATCAGATTAAAGGGGTCAAAACACAATTGAAACAATTTTTTTTATTTACTGTTAAAGCTGCGAGTCTTTTTCAGACTGTATTCCTGGGTTTTGCACATCTAGAGACTAAATATTTTTAACCGTTCATTTTTTTTTAAATATCCCAAGATTAACATTTGCATTTTGGTTTGGACTTGGACTAGTCCGCCAAGCGCTTTCATTTGACACTAGTTTTCATTGAACATGTATTTTAGATTTGCTGTTTGTTCATTCCGCACTTTTCTGACTTTTATATCAAAAAAGAAAAAAAAAAAAAGCAGATAAAAATGTTAAAATCGTAACAGAATACCCTGAAGTTTTGGGATAAAAAGTCAACAAAATGTGGGAAAGTTAAAGGTCTGTTTACTTTCACAAGGCACTGCAAATGCAGAATAAAAATCAAAATTAGCTAAATTTCACTGGGATGTAGAATTGGAAAGAGGTTTTAGAAATATGGCATTTTTTAGCGATACCTGAAATCTCATGCTGCCTCAGCTCGTTGTACTTGTAGGCCTGCTCCATTGGTTTGATGGATGAATGGTAGATCTTCCGCAACTTTTGTATAGCCGCTGTGAAACAAAGTGAAGGAGCAGAACGTAGCATAACAATGTCAGAGAAAGGGTTTGCATGAGGAATATCCTTTTTATCCATCTAGGCCACTGCTGCTGCAATTGAACTGAATTTTCTGTTTCCATCTGACTGCATCTGTGCCACATTAAAAAAATGCCTTAAGTAGTAATGAGATATCCTTTTTAGAAAAAATCTCACTTTTGAAAGAAATCTGAAGACTTTCATACTTGCATTGCAGGTTATACATATTCGTTATCACTTGAAAAAACATACAACTATGGTCATTTATTAACACATAGATAATAAATCATTTAAAAATGTTTTCGTTCTGCAGCTTATTAGAAAGTCTAAAGGCAACATTTTCAAACTATCTGTTCAAGTTAAGATGATAAAATGTCTACAATAAAGGCCAATGCAATGATCTGTCCCCATATGTTTCTCACCGACATAATCTGCTGCTTTTTCCTCAGTTGCAAGCCGCAGCGTCTCATCGATGTGAGATCTGTCTCTTAGGACGTGGTCCAATTCTTCCACCTCTGAAAGAAAAAAAAATAACATCATAAACTCATTGGACTGAAGGCTTCGGAGCAGATCTGATATTCAATTCTGTATCAGTCCCAATATGAAGGGAAATTCTAGATCATATATCAGTAAAAATGTGGCAGATCTACTTAGTCTATTTGACAAATGAATTTAAGTTAGGTTAAACAACTATTCAACAGCATGAAAGTTTACTCCTTAATGGTATAATCTTTGGAGATGTTTATTTGATTTAAGGATGAAGTTTGTCCTTTTAACACCATTTACTGTTTTTATGACTTCCTTTTCTGACCTGATACTAATCTCAAATTGACATTTGGGATGCACATGTTTATATTCATTCATATCATGCCTGCTTGTAGATAGGAGCTAATGACAGCCTTTAAAAAACAACAAAATTAACAAAATAACATTATAGTAAACAGAACTTTGGTATTTGGATCTGCAGCTTTCCAAATTTATGAATTAGAGTCAGATGGGAAGAGAAAAAAAGTGAATCTGTGCATCCCTATTGGAGGACTTTATTGTTTGTGAAAAAACAGTTTTTTTTTAATCATCACACATTGGTTATCTGAGCTCTCAGATCACACAAAGTCTGTTATTAAGCACAATATCTGAAATATTGGTATCATAAAAACTGCTTCGTAAAAGTTTAGGTATATCAAAAGCTTGCTTTGAACTCTAACAATTGTTTGTGGGCTTAAATAATCAAAATGACACTGAATGAGATTTCTGTACCATGACAGGCTACTGGTTGTTTGTGTTTCAGAGAGCAAGGCAGAGGTTTTGAGGGAGCATATTTGTTCACTTGTCATGTCCTCTTCTGAACCTATCAGGTTACTTAGTTCACAGCTGTTATTACAATCAACTCTTAATTTAGAAAGGTGAAGCTGAAATGAAACACACAAAGACAAGGCATCGCCACAGGCTTTAATGGTGACAACCAGGGATAAGCCTTGGGACTTCCCTGGTTTCACAAAGAGCCGAGCCAAAATTGTTCCCTGCAGTCGCATAAATGTAACAATGAGCGAACCTTCTGTATATTTATACCAACCTGCTACAGAAAGGTGAGCTATGTTCAAGTGTATAAACATCAATGATAGCCCTACACTTTCTGTAAGTTTCAGATTTGATTTTTAAATGAAGCTGTATCGAAATATTAAGGAAGTCAAATATGATACAAATCTGATTTTAAGTATTTAAAAATGATTTTATTTTAGTTTAACTTTTGATGATGTGTAAAAGATTTTCAGATATTCTATTATAGACTAACATCAAATATGTTTATACACTGCAAATATTGAAATCTAAATAAGTAATTTCTTCTTAAAAATAAATGCATTTTATCTTGAATGGAGGAGATAAGTGAGGTTCTTTGCCAATCGAATAAGACATTTTACATTTACAATTGAATTATCTTATCTAAAGTGCATATTATTTAAATAACGTTAAGAGTAAAAATACTAATTCTATTGGCAAATCATCTATTTTGCCTACTCAAATTAAGGTGAAATAAACTTTTAGACACTTTTACTTATTTCAAGATCAGTTTTTGCATTATAAGGGTTCTAATAAACTCACTATTTGGACGCAGCAGAAATGTTCTTTGCACCATTCCAGAATTTTTATGTCAGCATACTTTATTCAGTCCAATTTCATGTCTGATGTGTTCTTGGACCAAACTGTGTCCAAGTTTTAAATAACTGTGGGATTTTAGAGCCTCTGCATGAGGCATCCATGCTTGACAGTTGGCAAAGTTTTCTTTTCCTTGAATAAAAAAATATACTAATTGCCCCTGAGGCTTAACTATTGCATCAATTTGTCTGTCGGACATGAAATCTTTTCCCAAGCAGGGCTATGCAGAAAACAGAGTGAAACTTAGGTTTAACTCTAGATTGATTTCAGGCTTGAAAGAACTAATTGTGATGAGAAATGTATTATTTTTGTGTGAGAAGGATTGCATGTTATATCCAGACAACATATACAAATCTGAAATGTTTGTGAAATTGATTCACATTAAGCTTCAAACTCATAAATAGTTGGAATGTAAAGACGGTCAGCATAGGGTCAGGGATTTACTCTATTTAAATGTATTCAAATGAAAGTTCAAATACCTAAATAATCAAATAATTCCAAGAACTGTTGAAGGTGTAATACTGGCTATAGAATATTTAAGTTTCTCTGCAGCCTGTTCAGATACTAAACACTAAAATATAAGTAAATGTTATGTATTGATTACTCTAAGTGTGATGTTATAACACAAAATAACCTTAGGTGTGCCATACCATATTATAAAATCATGAATGTCTGCATGGGATGATCAGAAAGCATCAAAAAAGTTTCTGCTTTTGCTCAAAGTGCTCTGATCTCAGCAGGAGGCTGGCAGGAAGCCGTGCTGCCTGGGCGGTTTCTGCAGTACTCATCATAAACTCTTTGGTGTTAAAACTCAAACCCCAGGAGACGAAAGGTAAAAGATATTTATTTTTACTGTGCGGAAAAAATGTGTAGACTGCTGAATTGTAGCCAAAGGGGTAGGACTTTGATCTTTGCATGTACAGTTTTGTCAAACTAGACTGTCGCTTCAGTTAGGAGCAGAAGCAATGAACTCCATACCTGCTTTTAAAGTACAGGTTCAGTTATAACGTATTTTTCACTTTGCTGTGCAAATATCAGAAGAAAGCCGTTATTTAACAAGTTTCTATTCAGGTCCGTAGTTAACAAAAGCAAAGCCCCATTTATTTATATTTTTATAATATTTTTTTTTTTCAAACACACCTAATTATAAACAACATCATGTCAATAAGAAATGGCCCACATTTCAGAGGGCTGTCCACCAACAAACTGGAGCAAAGCCACCAGCCATGTGGGCAATGGCTTCTTGTGTTTCTAGCCAAGAATCTGGCAGGCATGTTGATGCATCCAATGACAAGTCAAATCATGAAACTGTGTTTGTTTACAAACTAAACTCAGGCTAACATGGAGAATAAATAACGACACATCTTTAAAAATACCACCGCTTCAGGAAAAAGTGTTCACTGCCAGCAGAATTAGCAGAGTAATGGGGGTATGGATTTTCTCTGCAGGACTTATAAATAACAAAAAAAAACTCAATAAGAAAAAAAAAATGTTTTTCCTAGATGTTTGATTTCAAGCCTGAAACAGGAAAGTGAGAAATATATTAGATCTTTTTAAACCTATATAAATCACTGTTTTAAGATGTCTAATCTGTTTATTTGAGAGAAGAAGGTTCGAATTTCATTTTTTTTCTTCAGGATTCAGCAGTTATTTGTAAGACCTCAGTTAAGTTATAACTATGGATGAAAGCTGATCAACAATAGAATCAAGAATTCACCTCATCATTAATAAATCAATATTTTCAAGCTAAAGCTGACTGGGAGAAAATAAACTCTGCATTAAACAACAAACAGAATCCAAGCACTATTCCATAGTAACCCAGGAACAAACACTGTAAAAAAAATGTATTTCAACAACAACAGGTACCTATCAGTATCTGAATTAAAAGAGAGGTCTTGTTCTGATTTATATTACATAATTCCAATCTGAAAGAGAAATATCATTGTAACAATGCTAATGAAATATGCCCAGCCTATGTAAACATGCACTTTAATCTTAAAATGTAAAATTGTGTCTCTAATATCAATGGAGGATTTCAGATAAACAAGCAGGGCAATGAAATGTTTGCTAAGTCGTGAAGTGCTCCTGTTTAGAAACACTAGCATGGTTAGGAGTTTGCCAAACAAAAAGGAAGTTCTGTATGTTAAAGGTTACATCTTCTCTACACTAAGATTACACCATGGATCTGATGGACACGGTTGTGTTTGGTAAGGCTAAAGCAAGTGGTTGGGATGGTTAAGATCTTAATGCTTTTAACTGGTAAGAACCTATTTTTATAACCTTTTGGAAAACATTCTGTTCTTATAAAGTGCATTTTCATGTCAGAGGACACCAAAGCACTTAACACTACTTTCAGTAATTCACATATTCACATAAGCTAAATTATAACAACAGTTGGTCTGAAATCCTCCCATTTTATGGGTTTACTGTAAACAGATTATCAAAAAATTAGCTGACGGTAATATTTTTCAGCACAAAAATGGTACATTATCAGACATAACCACAATCCCAAGTATTCAACTAAGCTTGATGCTATGTATGTAATATAAATCCTTTTATTGTTCCACAATGGGGAAATTCACTCTCTGCATTTGACCCATTCCCTCGGGGAGCAGTGGGCTGCCATTGTGTGTCGCCCGGGGAGCAGTGTGTTGTTAAGGGTCTTGCTCAGGAACCCAGATTGGAGGCTGTGGGGATCAAACTGGGTACTTGCAGCCTTCTCAGAGCACCAGTGCACTGCTCTAACCACTAGGCCAACACTCCCCTGGATATATATACAATTCTAAACTTTGTGGGCCAACCAATCCAAAATCTTCTTGGATCCAAATGACCAATCCCAGTAACTTCTCCAAACTACCTGGTAGCTTTCATGCATGGGTAAGCATGAAGCTAAGAGACGTTGACTGAGCTGTTTTCTTCAGAGCTTTCCAACAGACTCATATAACACTGACTTCTTCACATTCAGAGGGGAGGGAGACAGGAGCAGATCTTGGACATGATCCCTCTTCCTCCATCTGGCACCTTTCTGAACAGTGAGACAAATTGAGCTGTTTGGCAAAAACATCACAAAGGCCTCTGACCACAATCATAGGTAATGAAGGACAGAGCTGGGGTTTGAATCAATTACAGTCCTGCATCTTACGCAACTGCTTCCCCAATTGTTTTTTTTTTTTCATCTGACTGCATCTGTTCCACATAAAAAAAAATGCTTGAAGTAGTAGTAATGAGATTTGCCAGTATTCTGAAACCCTAATAAACGTTTTCCTTTCCATCTGCCAGACAACATGTCGATTGAATGCATGGCTGATGGGGCTAACTGGGAGAACTGGACTCATAAGTTTGTCTACCTGAGAATCACTTT